TCACACACATCTTGCAGTTTTTTGTAAATGTTACCCCAATCTGCTATCGTCGAGTCATGCATTGCCCCGGGTGCGTTCACCGCACACGCTATAATCGTTCCATTTGGGGCAAACACAAAAACATTCCCAACATAGTGGTCATGGGTCCATCCATTATAAAACATATTTTGGATAATGGAGTCCCTGGATTGCTGCAGATATAGCTTGAGCCCATCAGCAACTGCATATACGTCAGAAAGCATAGAATATTTTGATGCAAAGGAATGCTTAAAGACATTCACTTCGTCATCTGATGGCATGCGCACAGCTGCCATGTCGTCTGCAGAGAGTTGTTGGAGTAATATTCGCCTTCCAAACCGTAAGAAAAGCGAACAAACTGAGCCTGTGATGCCGAACATGAGGCACAAAACCATCTCGGAACCCCTGGATCTTCCCCAAGAAAGTATGAGACCTAAACATTGGCAAGCTGACAACGAACGCGGGCGACCACGCTTTTTCGAACGCAGCGGGAGGAGACTTATCATTCCCTCGCTACAGTACGGAGAACATCGTTCGAAGGCGGGTGCGAATTTTTCAAGCAGTCCACGAAATGCGTGGTGATCGAGCCCTGTTAGAGTAATGAGGGATCTATCACAGCCAGATCCGTAGAGAACCGAAAACGTAGACATCGACGGGTGCTGCAAGGCAGCTCTTGATATTCTGCGGTCTCTTCTTTTTCGTCCCTCGGCTGACAACTTTTGCCTGAATGTTATGGCCTTTTTTCGACGTTGGCTCTGAATGAGAAGCAGAAATAGAATAGCCATATGGTCATTCATGGTTCTGACGGTGGCTGCTCGTTGGTGAAAACACTCATCGCACTGCCATGATTGAGCTTAGCTCGCAGCACACACTGTAGTTAGAGCTCTGACGCCGTCATCGCCGGCGTCCGATGAGTACAAAAGAATGCGTACCGTGCAAAAGAATGCGTACAGTAGGGGAACGCACATTTTATGTGCGCAAGCATTTCCGTGGCATAACTCATTTTTGGTGCACAAAAAAGAAAAATATGACTCTTGACACAAAAAATAATTGGGCCATTTGCGGATCTTGGGGTGACAGGTGCGGCTTTTGATGCCCCTGGGGAGGTGAAGTTCTAGCCCTGGGGGTGTTTTGGGGGCGACTACCCCAATTGAGGTGGCATTGAAGGGTGACGTTCCTCATTCATCCAATTCCGAGGGTGACGTCGCCCTAAGAAAACGACATGTTGAAACATGCCGATCTTTGTCTGTGTCTATAGGGCGACATTGGATCGTTTTCTGAGATTGATGTGATTTCAGTTGGAAATATAGGGTGACTTCATATGCGAAACACCGGCAACTTCTACCCACTCTATCTACATACAATTACATACAGTATTTTCCATACCACGGAAGCATGTTTACCTAGTGTTTTCATCCCCATAAAGCTGTCTCAGTGCACAATCAGTAACAGTATGCGTCTCAGAACGGCAAAGAGAGCAAGTATACTTCCTCTTTGATGGCGCAGGTCCGTTCTCATACCAGCTCTTCTTACGTTTTCCCGCGTTTTTCACTGGCCTCCCACGAGGAGGAGGGATAGCTTTGGGAATTCTTAAGTTCTGACCAAAAGCTACTAACCGTTTCGCTTGTTTGATAACTTTGTCGACAGAGTATTGCGCCGGCATTGAGTAACACAAGCTGTAGTAATTCTCTTTCTATGCTTTCGTCAAATGTCGCCGCGCAACGTGCTTATACAAATTATTAGATCCGTACTTCTCACATATGACAGCCGTTCCGTGATAGCAAGGAAAACCGGAACCATCTCGTGAATGCATGCAGCATGAAGGGGGCGTGTTTGGCTCTGAACTCATGACTACATGCCTCAAACGCGTTCCGTCCACCACGCTTCGTACCGTCGCCTCTATTTGCCCCGTTCCCTCTACAAACCTAACAGACTCCTTATAAACTCTTGATCTCTGAATGAGTAGCGCAAGACGTTGTTCAATGTGAGGTGGTACGGGACTCTTGCAGTTCATTGCAGTTGCTTGCCGCTTCAAAAAGGCAGTTCGCTGTGTCGACACAACTTTCTCCAGCATCTTTTGAGGCTCCACTGTCCTGATATGGTTTCGCAGGGCGGCGGACATACCACTTTCAGCTCCTTGAGATGTCGTGATTAGATCTTGCAACATCGAGCATGCTCTATACAGCTCACTGTCATCAAACCTATTAAGGTAATCTGACATCTTCATCGGGAAGTCTTTTTTGGCTTGAATAACCTCATCCCTGCTTGGGTTTCGAAGCGCTTTATCGTACATACGCACACCAACAACCTTTCCCGCACCCAGTGCTGTAGCGAGATTTTTTCGGACATGCAGTGGGTCCAGGAACAACTTCGCGTGCCGCATGCACCGCTTGTACGTTTTGAAAGTAGACAAGCAAGTGATGAGGTCGAGATGAGGTGGCGCTGTATAGCACTCGAGAAGGTGGTGACGCCAATGCGGCAATATGCGCATTAAATAACGAGAGACTTGCCCAGATGCTTGATAGCGACGCATCATTTGTCATGGCGACAAGAATCGTCCTGCTCTAGCACGGACATACCGTACAACGTAGGATGTCATCAACAAGCGGACGAAAAGCAAAAAGGAAAATTGACGCAAGCAGGTAAAAAAAGGCGGTCACGGCGGGTCTCTCTCCTTGTCAGCGGGACCAAATGGGGTGCCTCTCCTCTTGCTCTTCAGGCCAAACCCCTTCTCCACGGGGGGAATGGTTTCCAGGAGCTGGATGTTCATGCTTCAATGTTTGCGATAAACTTATTGACATCGAAGTCACAGCACTCGGAGACGATGACGTACAGCCCTGGGTTTGTGGTCAGACCAGTCATGGACCCGCGAGTGCAAACTATTTCACATCATCAAGCTAGAATTATACTGGGACATGCTCAGATTTGTTCTTCCGCCTTCAGAATGGTGGTGGAGGTGTAACAGCGCTCGTATTAGCTGTTCGCGATGTTGGCGGGGCGTGGTTACCAAACGGTATTGTCGGCGGATCTGAGCTTTTTAGGAGCCTCCCTCCTTTCCAAAGCCATTTCCGTCTCCTGCATCGACGCGTCCAAGCGCCTCTCCTTCTCCGCCATGAGCAGCTCCTTCCTCGCGACGGCAGCAACCCGTTCGGCAACGCGGTCCTTCCCTGCTTCCTCCGCCTGGCCGACCCTTCTCTCCCTCTCTTCCAACTTGCGCACCCACGCATGTAGCCTCCCCTGCTCGACGCCCGAGTACTTCAAGCTGGCGAAGAAGGAGCGGGAGGGGCGGGGGATGAACACGAGCAGCGTGAGGGCTTCTCGGAATTGACAGGGACTTTAACTAGCTCCCTCACTTCAGCCACGCGCAAATTCTTTGCTTCATCTCCGCCAAGGAGACGAAGCACATCTTCGGTTAATGCGAACGGGTACCTTGAAGCGCTATCATGGACAATACCACGGTTGCAGTCCAGCGCAACGCAATGGTCTACAATTCCGTGTTCTTCTATTCGGACTATCCACACGCCTTGATTATGGTGCGCAAGCCACTTGAAAGGATTTGCATCGAACGCCTTCTTCTCAGCTTTAGGAACTCGGCGCACTGATAGTTGAGCGGGAATTTGGTGAACCAGAGAAAAGAGTTGCTTGAGTGTTTTGATCTTCATCGGATGCTTCCGAAGGTACTTGTCGACGCTTGTTCCTCCTGTGGTACCATATAGCGCACAAGTGCCGTTGGACAGCGCAGCCGACACGCATGAATCGTCGTTGCTGCGCACCAGGTTCGGGCCATGCTGGTGCACCTCAAACCTTCTTGATCCAGTGATTTGTCCGCGTGCCCCAATACCACCGATGAATATCGGCACACTGCGATGGGCCATCATCCACGCATACAATCAACGGAACATCTCTTGCAAAATCTTTTTCTTGCGCGGCAAGTCGTTGGTACCATCATCTATAGCGTTTAATAGAGCCTGCATCGTGTGAAGGGATAGTGTAATCGAATTGGCATCGATAGGCCAGAAACTTTCGTCACCGCCTGTCAATCCGGCGGCAGCGTACAAAACGCCGTCTTGCATTTTGTGGCCGCTTGCCCCTTGTCGGCCATCACCAATCATCACCCTGTCAATCGCCCAGCTCATGGTGTCCAAGAATACTAGGAATGATGCACCTCCCCGGAGATCTGCACAAACTTCCGTTCTTAGTGGACACACGTGAGATGGGCGCCGGGCTCTTTGGTGCGGGTTCCGGGTCACTTGGAGACGCGGCCGCGGTGCACCATGCTAGAGGCAGGGTGAGCAAGGCGATGAAGAAGGCGGGTGAGGGCATTGCGGCGAGATGTGCGGGGGGGGGGAGCTGGGGAACGTAGACGCCGAAAAATAGCGGGTTCAGAAGGCAGAACGTACGCCGCATGACCGCGCGTCACCGTACGCCAGCCACTGTGGTGGGCACTGGGCAGCCTCTATAGCCACACTATATTGTTTCAGTTATGAGAGCGCTATATCCAGCGCGAAACCGTGCGTTGGCGTGCTTTTATAAGGGTGACATTAAAACAATCATGCGTTTCTAGGGCGACTTTTGTAACATTTAGGTCTCTGCCGAAATGCCACGATGGTATACGTTTTTATGGGGTGACATCCCCGAATATGAGTTTGTCGGAGGTGACTTTACGATCGTTTTTCTGTCACCCTAGAAAACGTGCATTGTCACCCATCAAAAGGACACCATGGACCAAAATTACCCTACTAGCAAAGCACTTTTTAGTAGTGTCGCCCTATAAAAACCCCCACCGCATTGAAATCGCCCCACGTAGATTTCACTTTGGCCGGGTGTCGCCCCAAAATCTACACTTTGACCCAAAATAATTTCCGGAGGCGCCCAGTAACAACTGCTAAACTTTTCTTCTTCAAGGGTACCATACTGTAACAACTTGTTACAGTATGGTACCCTTTACAGTAAGAGGTAAAACCAAGCATTTTCTGTGATCAATGGGGGAGCCAGCAGTGCATCTTTTGGAATTCGTTTTCTCATTCTTGCCGCCGGCGCGTCTCGTACACTGGCGACAAGCTTCTCCATCGCTGCGCCATCTGCCGCCTCGCTTTCCGTTGCAGTTGTACTCGAACTTTGCGATGGGGAAGGGAAGGCGTGCACCCGCGGTCATCTATGACCCCGATGCACACCGCGAGTTTGTGACGGGTTTCCGCAGCCGGAAGCAGGCTCGGCGACAAGAAGCCGCCGCATCGGCAGTCACTGCCGAAAAGGAAGCGCGCCGGCAGATGCGCAAGGAGAAACGAAACGTTCTACGAGCAGCTGCGGAAAAAAGCCGCGGAACCCTCGACGACTCAGATGATGAGCCGAAGGCCGAGGAGATCAGTCGCGAAGAGACAACGTATCAGACGGACGACACTGTTGTAACGGCAGTTGTGGCGCCTCTCGAAACAGCGCTTGACAAGCGCGTGGTTCACGAGAAACGTAAAGTCGCAGCTTCCGTTGCGCAGAAGGGTACGGGTGGCAAGGAGAAGGAAGGTCTCATTCTCAAGGCGAAGAAGGCACAGTCGACGGGAGGTCGGAAACGAAGGGTATCTTATACACATACACTGTCAAAAGTGAATAAGCGAAAGCTCCAGTTGAAGAGAAGGAAAGCTGAGAGAATTTGATTATGCGGTGCTCAGGAATGGCGTTTCCACCCGCCCTACGAAGAACAGTCAAAGGGTCCAGATGTTCGGGTCGTCGAGGACATGCCGGAGGCCTTCAATCTTTCGATCCACAACAGAGAGACCATCAAACACTACGCACGTCACGTTTCCACAGGATACGTCTCGAGCTCCATCGACGGGGCCATCTACACAGGCAAAGCATTTCCGCAGCAAATACGACCGATTCCGTTCCTGTTCCCGCCCTCTCATGCTCAATAGGTACCGCGATGCCTGCATTCCGCTGGTGTTTTGTAAGCAGTTTCTGCACACCTGCTGATTGACGCCCTTGCCGTGACACAAAATGCATCTTTCTGTTGTATAGAACATTCGCAAACTGCTTTGCTTGGAGCGTGCTCGTTTCCTATCTGGGTCTGTCGGTGATAGAATTGGCTCAAACTGTGGCCGCGGAATCTCTGCGTACCACGCTGACACTCGGACTCCGATCAAACTGAATACACGGTTAAGTGTTGGCAAAATCTGTTTTGTGATGTAGTAAGTTGTGTTCAGACGCGCCATACCACGTCGAGCCGAGTCGAGGTAGTCTTCAGGGGACACCACGCAATCCCTCAGAGGCGCCCCTGGCCTGTCATATAAGACAACAAAAGGGACTCGTTCACCATGACGAGGTACAGACCTCGGATCGTGCTCCATCGCTTTCGTAGCCACGATCGCTGCAGGCGGCAAGTGACCCTCTTTGTATGATCCCAGTCTTACTTCTTTGCGGAAAATGTAGTCGCAAAACGGCACTCGATCCAAATGGAGCTTTTGGCATAGTCTCTGTATGTATTGCTTGACGATGGACACGTCCTTCGTTTCAAACAGCAGCCTGATAGCCTTCTCAAGAGCTTTTTGCACCAAAGGACATGAATCGCGACGAACTGTTTCAATTCCTTTCGCATCGAAGATAGGCAAGGCCTGGTCCCGTGATTCGTAGCTGTAGCCAACATATCGCTTTTTCGTTTGTAGAATACAGGGTTGATACACTTTTTCGAGCTTCAAGGTTATCGGGTCAGGGAACATTTCAGAAGCTTTCTTGACAATTCGCTCACCAACATCAAACGCTTCGTTTCTGGTTGCCCCTGGCACTTTCACGAACAGAGAATCCGTATCCCCGTACACGACTGTTGCTCCAGTCTCTTCCTTGAGCTCCTCTTCGACATAGCGCACAATCTCTTCAAGAGAATCCCGTCCACACTGTACTATTGCGTCTGCAAGACCTGAACAAGGCATCCGACCTGAAAAGCTAGCGGCCGTGTACCCATATGTTACGTTTGCAATCATCTTAAGACCGAATTGTCGTGCATTCAGAAGACCCGCTGTCACATCATCATTGACTATTCCCTTCAATGACTTCTTCACCATCACGCGAGTTTCAAGAAGCTCCTCGAGCAACTGCGGCAAAATACCGCGCCGGATAGAAGAATCTACAAACATCTCTCCACTTGAGGAAACATAAATGTTTTCCATTGGAATAGATGTTTCAGAATCAAGTGCAGGAGGAACGTACTTTGGAATCACACCAATTCGGCGACATTCTGACCATGTCATGACCCTGTTTACGTTTCCCAGCATTGTGCTATAGCAGAGATTGTGCCCAATAATGACAGAGGGGTACAAACTTTGAAAGTCTAGGACAATGACTGGATCTACGTAAAGAGCTGATTGGGGTTCCATAACCAACGGTAGGGCCTCCACAGCAGGTTGCTGAAAAACTCCTTCACGTGGAGCGGCCAAAAGTAGGTAATCGCTTGTACGACTGACACGTCCAAGCATGCTTTCCACGCGAAACTGACTTCCTCGTGTGAGAACGCTCATAAAGTCTATCCCGAATACTCGAGCAAGTTCTCCCGTTCGATTCAAGATGTTCAGCTTATTGGAGATGGCCAGGTTTAATGATGCTAGCCGCTCCAGATGACATATGGCGCGACCCGAATGCCTTGTTGACGTTAGCCACTTTTCCAAATCCCTGCTCGTGTGCTTTGGAAATGTTGTCTGGAATAGCTCTGATGCTACAGCTTCTCGAGAATACGCTGACAACTTGACCTCCTTGCGGACAATACGCCACAGACTTAGGACATGTCTTCCAGTAATCTTTATGTCAGCACCTTTTCGATGGTAGTATGCCGCTGCTGCAGAATTGTTGCCTTGCCGTTGGCGATTCTCCGAATTGAAGTTTGTTCCTTTCGCCCACCGAGATGAAGATTGTTGGAATGAATGATTGATTGCGGCTGACCTCTCCAGAATATATCCGATTGAAGAGTTTTGAGTTTCGAACCCGATCAAGACGTCAGGATCTTCATTTAAAATATGCGACGCAAGCGCATCCAATAACTGGGTTTCAGAATCACAATAAATAACAAGATGTCGGTTCGATAGCGATTTCGTGTTCTTGTCAACAACAAAGGTGAGCCTTTGAACCTTTTGTCCCTCCACATCTTTCCGATCTTTCTGGGTGACAGCACAGACTGCAAGAATTTGATTCTGATTCGGGTCAGGAAGCCTGTCCGAATAGCATGCTGCAAGAACCTTTTGTATGTTGCACACAAGAGTAAACGCAAAACACAAAACTGTTAATTGATCACGGAGTCTGTGTCAGGCCAAAACACTGAAACAGGAACAGTCGGGGAAGCTTACCTCTACAGAAGTAATAGTGAGGTTTTGATAGCGATGCATTGATTCGGAGAGGGAAACCGTGCTGTTCCTGTTCTCTCCCTCGCTTAACAGGATCGTCCGCTTCCGCAACGCAGACTCGCTCCCTTTTCGGCGCGGCGTTTCTGCGTCTGCCATGCGTGAACAGTTGTGTCGCAAGTCATGCCATATAAGGGAAGATTATGTCAGATCGATAAAGACGAGGAGAGTCAGTCTGCGATTTGAAAGCACAACTGTGACAAACGTACTGTGGCGACTAGTGTTTACGAATAATTGGAAGCCCTCGTCGTATTTCGGAGACAGTGGGCGATTCTGAACAAAGTTGTCATCGTCAGAGTCGATCTCATCAGCCGTCTGAATACGGTCAAGGCGTGGTGTCTTGAATTCTGGGTCGTCAGAAGAATCTGAAGCATCGTCGCGGTCGTCACGAAGATTTCTGTCTCGTAGTCTGTATGGGACAAAGTCAATTGCAGGGTCCTCAGATAGATTCAAAGGGTCACGAACAGTTCCCTCTGCCTGCCGACGGATTTGCCGCCCCGCTGAATCGATGTCCTGCACAACTTTTCGGGGATTTTTGCGAGTGCTCTCTCGTGCCTCTGACATTGCGCGCTTTACTTCTGAGACGGTTGGTGGCCGCTCGGCGGGACGCACGATGCGTGGAAGAATCTCCACAGTTGACTTTGATGTTTCAAAGATGTTTGGGAAAGGTGGATACCCTTCTGCCCCACTAGCTCTGACAGGAATATTCAACCCGCCAAAGTGCTGCCCTGACTTGACTTCATCCTCCTTCTTTCCATAAAATGGAGTCGTATAGACGATTGAAAAGGAACCTCCAGCACGACTGCTTTTTAATACATCAGCAACACAGGGCGGTCGTTCCCGCGGGTGAATGAAGATAGTTTTCTCGCCAGTACATTGGCAACCGCCGGAAACGGTACCACCCAATTCGGTCTCAGGGAGAATGTTTTTCGTCTCCTGGCGGTGTGTCTTGCCAGGAAGGGAGGTAGGATTCGTAATTCCTGTCGCATTTCGTTGTGAAGACCTCTTATCATCACGCTGTGACGTAGTCTTTGCACCACTCTTCACGCCGGCAAGTCTTACTTCAAGGCCATCTTCTACTTCCGGTGTCGGTGCATCTACACTTTGCTGTGTCCCTAGATCTCGCTGAGAAGCCGTCCCAATGCTATCTGGGTCAGAAAGAGGAGGTGACGAGATGTGAACGTCTTCTTCCGCGACGTCGTCCTCGAGGCGCGCTCTCTTCTGGGGCTGTAAGGCTAATCCCGAGAACATTTCATCGTCAACGTCATCAGAGCCATGCTGAGTGCAATCTGCTATGTCAATCCAATCGTTCTGAATACCACCCCCTTCTTCCTTCCCATTCGCAGCTTGTTCGTCCCCTCTAGACTGACCAGCATCGCCAAAATCAAGAGCGCCCTCGCCCTGGACATCATCGTCGAACTGTTGAATCTCAAAGTCATCTTCCACAGTCGGAATGGACGCGGTCGCATCCAAAACCTTAAACACATCATCGTAACCAGCCGGGAGGGACTGCTCCCTCGTCATCTGCGACTGTGATTCTAGAAAGGCGGCGACATGGTCCATGCTACCGGGGGCGGTCATCTCCTGGGCACCCTGCCGCTCTGCCTCGACGACCTCCCTCAAGCGCTTCCGCACGGTCTCATCCGACAAATGGCTCCCCGCCACAACATCCCTCGGGACCTTCCGCTCCCGCTGCGGATACATGCCCGTGCGGAGGCGCTCCTCCTCCCACAGGACGCGCAAAGTCCTCGACACGAAGGCATACGGGCCTTCCTCGTTGCGACCTTTGGCGTTGAGGATGTGCTGTGGGAACGAGTCGAGCTCGAGCTCGGACCGTGCCCTTTTCGCGACGGCGAACGGCCACATCAAGTCATGACGGAGGTTTTCGATGCCAGCGACAAAAGTGCGCTCCATGATGGGCTTGCTCAGCATGGCGGCCGGGTCGGACGTGCGCGCGTCAGGCAGCGGGGAGCGAAAGCGGCACGTCTCGAGGTTGATATAGGCCATGCCGGACAGGTTGTGGTCGATCAGGAACTGCATATGGAACGGAATGTGGGACTCGTACGTCGGGGTGTCCGGCGGCACGAGCTCCGGCGGCAGGCCGCGCTGCGCGACGATGTTAGCGATTCGGCCGACGGTGCGCGGGTCGAAGGTAAATATCTTGAGAAAGACGTGCGGGGCCGGGCGGTAGCCGTAGATATCCGTGCGCAGCACGGGCTCGATCTCCGCGACGAAGCGGGGCTGGGCGGCAGCATCGCCGGGCGGGGGGTCCTGGCGGGCGTCGGGGGTGTCGACGAAGGCGGTGCGCAAGCACTTGTCGATGGCGTCGCGCAGGCTGGCCGCGTACGCGTACGCGTGCTGCGGGCGCACTTGGCGCGGCAGCGGCAGGT